ACATTGGTCTATGGTTTATCAAATCCTTTGAATATCTACAGGTCAGAATATGCATAGCCTATGTACTCAAGGCCAAAAGTTAATTACAGGAAGGTGATATCCGGGGTCTGGAAGAGGTTAAGGTCAGTGGTTTGCAAACTGATCACTGAACTGCTCTGCTCTGCAGAGAAGGCTGGGGGCAGGGGGTTCGGAGATAGTGGTTCACTGGCTCCTTCTTCACTTTTAACCAATTAGTACAGACTTTACAGATTTGTAATCTCATATCATTTCATAAACAATGCCCAGGGGTAATAAAAGGCCTTTCCCTGACTTTAAAACAATGTCTGTACCTTAGAAAGCAGGTGAACTAATCCCTCTCCATCCTCTGCATCCTTCACTGTTGGTGCCATTGAGGTTCAGAAAGCCAAACTGACATCCCAAGGTCACACATTGTTTTGACTAAAAGCTATTTCTTGTATTTCTCCTTTGTGAGCTCAAAAGCTGGGCCAGCTGCCAAGTCTGCTGGGCACTCGCTCCTCTGCCCTCTGAGTCAGCCCGTATTATACCCAGTGGTGCTCATCTGGGTTTATTCCCTCTGCACATGGGACTCCTCAGTGTGCGTTTGGAAAACAAGTCACTGTTCAGGGGCTCACGGCCAGCTCCTGAGTCCAGAAGTCACATGTTCTCAGTTCTTTATCTTCCACCGCCCAGGCAGTATGTAGACCTCCCTTTCTTCCCTGATGCATTTACACATTGAAAGCAGCCTTGCAGAGAACGCAGAATACTCTGACCTTGGCAAAGGGGAGCAGCTGTTCTGTACCGGAAAGCTGAAATTACTGAAAGCTCCATCTCAGGAACATATGCTCTTGGAGAGCTTATGACAGAAAAGGAAGGTGGGATTGGGGGACTGAGATCACGAGAGACCCTGCGAAAACATTTTTTTTTAAACTTTCAGAAATATAAATAAGATACACTAAGGAGAACATCAAAGACTTCTTTAGGTATAATAGATGCGTGCGTGGTTTTCATTTTATCATCCCTTGTTTACAAGACATGTCACCGTTTGGCTGTGTGACAGGTGATAACACATATGAAGAAGCATTTTGACGAGTGGCTCTTTACCTACCTAGACGGTCAATGCTTCCCTGACCTTTTGCCTGAAAGAGGGGTTACTACCCCCTGCCTCCTGCGTGTGTGCATGGCCGGCTGGAAATGAAGAAGTGGAGTTCTGGGACTTGGCGTCCTTCCTCTCAGATTTTGCCCTTCTGCTCTCTGCCATTCCACTTGACCTACCATTTCTATTCCTTACCCCAGTTTCTTCTTTCCCTGATTATTCCCGGTGGGAATACACGAGACTGAAAGTTCTTGTTAATCCAAAGACACAGTGATATCATACACAGTGAGATTCCCTGCAAGGGACACTTAGATTCCCGTTCTGAAGAGACAAGAACTTCCTGCTAATCCCTAAGAATCTGGAGGTCAATATTGGCTCCCAAGCTATGTAATCAGGTATACAGAGAAGTTATCTAAGAAATCCTTTGCTTGTCCCCCATACACATGGGTATGCTTACATTTCAAATTTCACCTTTGGTTCTTCTGTTTCTAAGAAGAATTAGAGAAGATGTAGCTTTCCCCTGAGAAAGGGAATTTCTGAGAGATGGTAAAAAGTCTGTCTAAAGATGTTCCTTAGTAACAGTCAGCACTGAGGCAGTTTGCTGTCAGCCTGGACGCTCTCTTCACTTGTTTGCTTAGGATTAAGAAATGGAACTTGATCTCAGGTCAATCTCTAGAGTAGGGGAAATGATTGTCACCGAGTATTTATAATGTCATATGACCCTTGGGCACCGTGAAGTGACACCAGGAAGGGATGTGACCCTTGTTAAAGTTTGGCAAAATATCTCCTTATAAAAGCCCCAAGCAGGACAGATATGAGGTGTACCTGGCAGCTGGGGGGTTAAAAGAACTGACCTGGATATAAGAGGGAACTCTTCACAGTGTTTGCTCAAGGTCAGGCCTGTTAGATGTCTATTTATAAAACAGAACCTGCAGAGATAGTTCTGACATCAAGTAGCTCATGATTTGAGAGAGGCATTTGTCATTTATTTGTTTGTCACAGTCCCTTGTCCTCATGTGGCAGAACCAGCCATAATGTCTCAGTGGAGAGGTGAAACTGTATCCTTCCCGATCTCATTCATTTTGCGTATTATCGTCTTTTCTTTTTAGGATGGATCCATTGTCATTCTCTCCAATTTGAATTCATTTAGATGTCAAGTTTATCCCTGACCCCTTTTCGGCTTACGGCATGTGTTCTGTCGATGCCCAGCAAGTGTCTCGAGGGCAGTCTCTGCACTGCTAATGTGGGGCTAAGTTCTTGCCCTTACCACGACTCCTTTAGGTGAATCCACATCCATCTCCACTGGAGTGGAGGGAAGTATTGAGTTCCCCTGAGTCACAGGGCTGTGTGGGGGAGGTAGAGATTCTGGAATAAAATTTGGAACCTCTTCGGGAGGTAAAAAGAGAGGAATGTATACTTGGTAGGTAGCCAGCAGTGTCAGGCACAGTATCCTTTCAGTTTCCAAGGTCATCTTTTTATATTCCTCAAGTAAAATGGTACTCTAAGCCTGTCTTTTTTAGGGCTTTAAACACAATATTGGTCCTTTTAAAAATGTATTCCCTCAAATCACACTCTTTGGTGTCCCACCCCTGCAACCAGAGATGAGCTCCTTAAAGCCGGGGCACCACACCCAGCTCTTCTGCAGATGTTTAGTACCTGAGCAGGTGCTGGGTGTCACCAGTGTGGAATGAGTAGTCACAGAACAAGCACATGTAAC